CCCCCCCCCCCCCCCCCCCCCCCCCGCATGTACGGCAGAGACCCATAGGTTCACCATCACAGTTTTAGGATATAGTTTTCTCCTTGATGGTTTGTCTGGTCTTAATCCTTATCTGATTTTCTCTTGGTGCTCTCTGAGCTGGGTGGTTTTCTTGCAGACATTTCAATGACCCAGCTAGGGAACGTCATCAGTGCTAGAAAGGGGGAGGAGGGGGAGGGACGGACGGAGGGATCCTTGATGTTCTCTGAGCTGGGTGGTTTTCTTGCAGACGTTTCAAGACCCAACTTAGGGAACATCATCAGTGCTGGAAGGGAATATGATTCTACCGTCTAGCACTGATGTTTTGCCTAGTTGGGCCATGAGACATCTGCAAGAAAACCACCCAGGTCAAAGAATTCCCCTTGCAAATTTGCCACCGTACTGCAATATTCATTCTATTGGAAAATGTTGTGTCCGCCTTACGATAGGTAGTCTTCGATTTACAACCCTTCTTTGAACATCCCTTCGGAAGTTACGACCAAACCGCACAATCTTGGGACCGATCCCAAGGTTCGCTTCACACCCGCCGCGACCCGCTGAACGTTGGCATCAATTCGCTTCACGCCCTGCCGGAGAGTTCCCCAAATCTGCTGTGTGACTCGCTTAGCAAATCACCCAGGTGATTTAAGGTCCCTGTTTGGTCATACAGTGAGGACCTCGCTCACTGACAACCTCAGGAGGAAGTTACTAAACCAAATACCTTCTGCAGAAAACAAATGTTTGTAGTTGATGTTTGATTTCCTCATTTGCAGACTTTCCAGGACAGATAGATGGAGGTAGATGACAGATAGATAAAGAAATGGGGGGGGGGGGCAGAAATAGATAGTTAGATGATATAGATGACAGATAAATAGCTAGATAGAGAGAGATGGCAGAGATAGGTGATAGAGGGATAAATGACACACACACAGAGAGAGAGATGACAGAGAGATAGAGATAGATGACAGACAGATAGAGATAGATGACAGATAGATTAGATAGATAGATGATAGAGATAGATAGATTGCAGATAGATAGATGATAGAATTAGAGATAGATGACAGATAGAGAGAGAGAGAAACTAGTTGTGATACAGACAGACAGCTAGCTAGATAGAGAGAAACAGAAAAACAAAGATAGAGAGAAAGATAAGAGAGAGAGATGTTAACCCAAGGAAAACAAACGAATAGATGCATAGAAAGACAGAGAAACGTAGAGAGAGTTTGGACGGATAGATAGATAGATACATAAAGATAGATAAGTAGTTGTGAGAGAGAGAGATATAAACAGATTATACACATACATACATAAAATGGAGGAGGAGCAGGAGGGAGAGACAGACAGACATACAGACAGAAAAAAGAAAGAAAAGAAAAAGAAAGTAAGGGAGGAAGGAAGGAAGAAAGAAAGAATGAATTGTGTTTCAGCTACTGGTTCATTTTTCGTGCCCTAGTTTTTAAAAAAATCCACCATGCAAAACACAGTACTGTCCAAAAAATATTTTCCCACGTCATTATAGTTGTGCTTTTAAAGTTGTAGCAACGTTTTGGCAGAATCTCATCTGCCATCATCAGGCTTCTGTATTGAGGTTATCTGGACACCTGGGCACAAACAGATCCCCCCTGATACCTCCAGGTCAAACACACCCCAACCAGGCACCCAGATGAAACCTAGCTTCCTAACAAATGATAGCCGTCCATTTACTCGGAGCCAAGCTGCACTAAAAGCCTCCAATACAGGAACACAATGTTGCCAGCCAATCAAGACACACACACAAAAAAGCCACAAAACAGACCGAAGATATTAGAAACACCAATCAAGCAGAACACAGCAAACTCCAAGA